TATATATATATATATATATATATACATATACATATACATATATGTGTGTGTGTGTATGTATATGTGTATATGTACATATACACACACACACATATGTATATGTACATGTACATATATACACACACATATATGTATATGTATATGTACATATATATTAGAATCATATACATATTATATGATGCTGATTATTTTATACCCAACATCAACAATCTACTTTATTCACTCCCTTTCCCCTACCACCACGGATTCATATGATTATGTCGCTTTCGGTCTTCTTTTCAGAAAATCATAGAGATTGCTCATTCACAAGGAGCCCTTGTTATGGTGGATAACAGCATCATGTCCCCAGTTCTATCTCTGCCTCTAGAACTAGGAGCAGGTATACAATTGAAAAGGATGTTATTCTTGTTATTATTGTAAAATGTTTATTTGTAATCCTCCTAATTAAGCATTAGGTAGAGTGAAGTTTCATTTCTTGTTTACTTTGTAGATATTGTTATGGAATCAGCTACCAAATTCGTATCTGGTCATAGCGATCTCATGGCAGGCATCCTTGCTGTGAAAGGGGAAAGGTTAAGAACTTTTGCTTTTATTTGTTCATAGTTTAATTCATTTCCAACTTTAGTTCACATCCTATAAATTGTCATTCTAATTGTGTATTAACTGTTCATCCTTGTTTGAGGCTTGCATAATGGGTACTAGTCGTGAACACCGTGCAAATCACGACATATCATTTTTTTTCCCACTACAGTAGTCCCGATTTTAAATGCTATAGTAATATTGTTTTAAATTTTTTGAGTTGCTACCGATCCCGCTTCTGCTACAGTTTTTTAAAAATGCTACAATATTCCAGTGTGCTACAGTGATATTTTTCAAAAAATTGATTCGCCATCCAGGTTCCTGTCTACTACAGTAAAAATGCTACTGTAGTATGAATAGTGAATCTTGGTTTCTCCCATTTGAGTAGAGGAGTAGATAGTGTTTACGACTAATTCTGTCCGCCATAATACAACTTGTTATACTTGTAGCTCAGTCTATTGCTAATGGTTTTAAATAATATGATTACTGTTAGATTGATCTCTCCATATTGTTGCTATCCCATCATCCTTGGTGCCTATCCACTGTTGCAATTTCTTAACAAGAATTATACCTGCTTAGAACCTTCTATATGATAAGCAAGTCTATACCTGTTTGGTTTGTTATTTGATCTTTCTCTAAACATCATTGGCCTTGTGTAATTTTTCTCCTTTGTGACCACCTTCCTTTAATCACCATTTAACTATGGGCCTTTGAGTCTGTTTGAGCTATCTTCTTGGTCCATATTGGGATTTTGCAACATATTTCCACCCAAAGTAGGCTTTGGTAATATATCCGTTGTTTCAAACTTTGAAGCTTTCAACGAGTATGTAAAATATATGTAGTATTAAATATTATTAACTAGTAACTACACTTGATAGCTCCATCAGAAACTTCTATCATTTTCTGAACTTGGGTTGCTTCCATATAATGGTAAGCTTGTAAATCTGGATCTTCAAAACATTTATCAAATGGCTAATGATTCATATAATTCTGTCCTTGTGTCATTCCATAAGCATAAACATCGAGCTTTACTCCAACTAATTGTCCATATTATGTTCATTAATCATGTTATGTCACAATAGACGCAGGATGAGCTGGATTATAGATTGGTACTACTTTAACAGTGATTCTTGACTCCCCCCATAAACAAAATTAATCATATCTTACTGTTTCTTGTGAACACTCACATGCATCGTTTCCCTGGCGTTTTGGTAGTAAATGTGTAATTTTTTTTTTAAAAGCACAACAATGTCTAAACTGTTTGTTACTTGGCATTTTATCAGCTTGTCAGAAGCAATTGCATTTTTACAAAATGCGGAAGGCAATGGATTAGCACCATTTGACTGTTGGCTTTGCTTGCGAGGCATCAAGACTATGGCTTTGCGTGTGGAGAAGCAACAGGTGCACCATAATCCTAACTTCTGATAGCTTGCATCTCTACTGATATGCCGACAACATGATTATTTGCTAGTTTTTACATAATGAAAATGTTTTATGTTTGATATAAACAAATCCATGCATATTTGCGTGTTATTTCACTTATTTTTTCATCTTTAGCTCATTATGTTAATTTTCATAACAAGAAACTTCTAGAAATTTGACTATAGAGCATGTTGTCGTGAATACATGAAGATCTGTTGGTATGAGACGGTAAGTTAGGTGTCTTCAGTCAATTGTCTTGTAGCCTTTAGCTTAATCCTGGTTTGTCTTTCCCAGTAAACTTGTTGTCATTAGAGATGCTGCCAGATCGCTAGAACTGTTCCAAGTTTTCTTGTCAGAGTTCGTTTCACTATGTTTTCTTTATCAGAAAGAGTCGCCTTTAGAAGTTTTTTAGGACTTTGTCTGCACATTTCCTAAGTTGTTGAAGTCAAACAGGAAGGCTTGGTATGGTCACCTGGTTGTTTGGATGAGACCGAAAGGATAGATTAAGAATGATAATGATATATCTTATTTGGATGATTTAACTTCCATGTGGATCTCAATGTGAAACAAGTGAGGAGGCACAGAGAGGAATTAGCCTTCGTATTTCTGTTCAACACAACTTTCCTTAGGTCATGTACATACTTGAGGTTGAAAGCCCACCAAACGAGGCTTATTAACATGGAGACTTGTTAGAATCGTAATATATGTAACAATCAGTGAACTGAAAACCTTCACTATAATCTTTGAACCTTCACTACATCTTTTTTCAATCATTTTTATGTTAAAACATCATATTATCAATGGAAATCCAGCACTTTAGTATTTTCTAACATGACTGTCAGATTAATTGTTTACAGGAACTTGATTTTTGCAGTACATAATTAGGGTATTGATTACATTCAAGCCTCTATGCCTTTTTCACATTTGAAGTCATTTGGTTTTGAGAAGTAAACGAATTTGATCATGAGATATGGGTTTTGTAAATATTAGAGCACAACTTCCTTTTGCTTTAACTCATAAAATCATATATAACCCACTACACACTTCAACCTTCACCTCAACCACTGAATGGGAGGGGAGGTTGTTCGATATATAATATGTCCATATGCAAAGCTAGAACTACTACACTGTATGCTGTTTTATAAGAGCATGGGCCTGGCATGCTCTGTAGCTTTATCCATGCCATGAATGTGTTGAGAACAACTTATGCTCCAACACATACTCATTCGCTAAAGGACTTGGTTCACTTTCTTGAAGACACATATACACACACATGACAAGGGTCATTGTCATTATATTGCATTCTACCAAATTCGTGGCACGTTTGCTATTCTCACTAAAAGCCTAAATTTTGAGTTCCTTGATAGTTAATTGGTGCTAAGGATCAACTTTGACACGTAGAAATGAGGTGACTCATTCTCATCCACTCATCTGAAGTGGCTATTTTCAAGTGGGGCTCTTAATTAAGTGGGGACCATTTTCAAGTAGGGACTATAAACGAGTGGATGAGAATGAGCCACTTCACTACCAAGGACCAACTTTGTTCTTGGTATCAAGGACACCCATTTCTCTCTATGTACACACACAGAGACACTGTTATACCTGCACGTTGTGGAAAAATTTTCATGATGTATTATTTATCAAAATAGTAAAATGTAGGAAAGTTAACGACATATCTTTTTCGCTATGACTTTATCATTCTAAAAACTTTTATTATAACCATGAGCATTTGAATTATGCTTTAAATTTGTTAAACTTACTACACAAATACTTACTACATACATAATAAGGACAAAAAAGTTAATATATATCAATTTATAAGAGAATATTACATCTTACACACACACACAAGGTTATCGATAGCAGATCGTGTCACGTAGCAGTGAGGCACCGCTAAGAGTATTTGTGTCAAAAGGGGCAAATAACACATAGTCAAATAGTGGTCTAATTTAAACATATTTAAATATTCTAAAAAATAAGAAAAATCAATGTAAGGGCAAGATTTCATCGAGGGCAAGGCTTCATCAAGGAGATGGAGTGGAGGCAGTTAGAGGCAAGGGTTTAAATATTGGTAAACTAAAATATATCGGATGACCAAAATTTATATTGGATTGTAGTTATCGGGATATATAGAGAATAAGTAGAAAAATTGGAGTGTCATATCGAATAGTGAGTATTTATAATATAATGTCATAAAATGTAATCTAAGTACACTTACTGAAATGTAAACATACTAAAATGCCTTCGAGAGAGGACTCAAAATAATTGAGCGGTTGAACTTGAGGAGAGAGCGTAGGAGGTGAAGAGAAATTAGGACTGGTTGCTCTAAACGTGATGGGAAACAATAAGTCAAATTGGTGGTTTTGATTTTATTTAGTGAGTATTAGGTTCGGGTTTGAAAAATAAGGGTTTTGACACCCAAAAGCCAATCAATAGTTGAGATATTTTTTTGACAAAAACAGCCAATTTAGACCCGATAAAAAGCGGCCTGTTAATTGAATTTTCACCAAGATATCAGAGGAAATCAGTGAAAAATGATAACTTATTTAATTTTGCAAAAATCATATCGGTAGTGGTTCAAACCCTATATATCGATGATATATCGATAAAATCGGTCTATTTTTAAAACACTTGTTGGAGGATCTGGAGAGGAGAGGAGATGGAGATGGAGCTCGTCGAGGAGACTGTTGTTTGCTGTAGTGTCGAGGAGAGGAGGAGAAGCTCGTCGAGGAGTTGGAGGATCTAGAGAGGAGGCGAAGGAGGCAGAGGAGTGATGGAGGGAAGCAGCGGAGTTAGAACTCGTCGAACACGGAAGAGGAAGAGAGAGGCGGAGGTCTGGTAAGAGGTTTTTTGAGAAAGGCGAAGGGAGTTGAATATAGAAGAGAAAGAGAATGGGTTTTGTACGTTGGGTCGGGTTCCAGTTTAATTCGGATCAGGTTGTTTTTATAAAAATCAACCAAAAAAGCGCTAATAGTGCTCAAAAGCGCTTTTGAGCACTATTTCGTGCTTTTCTCTGCTATTTCGATTGAATAGTGGTCTTCGATGCTTTTCCTCACTATTATGGCCAAAATCGTCGTGGGCAAGGGCCGTATATATTTAGTCCTCTTATTAAAAATGCTTTCTTGTAGTCATTGGAGCCTGAATTAGCTTTAACTTTTTAAAACATACTTTATTGAACATATTGCATACATAAATGCTAAAATATAATTTAATAAACATATTCATATTAATTTTCATTTAATAAAATATAATTGCACAAATAATCACACACTATCACTCTGTTTGTATTGAATGGAAGTGGAATTTGAAATAAAATGCAAAGGGCATATACACTATTAGTGAAATAAAATAGAAATTAATTATACCTTTTTTCCCATGCTTATGAAGTTTCTAGGGGTTTTCCTATTCTTGAATTGAAAATTAATAGTTGTATAAAATATTATAGGATGAAGATGATGATGATGAATTTTTATTATGGATTAGTAGAGAAAGAGAGGTCAAGAGTTGAGAATTTGAATGGGTTTGTATGAGAATAATATGTTAACGATGGGTAATAAAAGTATAATTTAATTTGTGGGTTAAATTTTTTGGGAGTTATACATAATGAAAAGTTTCTTTAGTGGGTATTTTATACATTATAAAGATGACTTTTCATATTCTCATTATTATCATTTTGTTTATTTTACTCGCAAAAAATAAATTTTAATATTTAAAAATTTAAGAAATTAGCAAGCGGCAGCTATAGGGCCTTATATATATATATATATATATGTATGTATGTATGTATATATGTATGTATACATGCATGCATACATATATACATATATGTATATATATACATATATATACATACATATATGTATATATATATACATACATATATGTATATATACATACATACATATATGTATATATATACATATATATACATACATATATGTATATATATATACATATATATATGTATATATATATATACATATATGTATGTATATATATACATATATGAGAAAAATGGGTATGATTGGTACCAAGCACAAGTTTTTGACCTTGGTAGTGAGGTGGGAAATTCCCTTTTACTTATTGAAATCGGGGCTCACATTCACATGGGTTGGGGAGTGGCTGGGAATTAAAATGAGTGGATGAGAATATGATACCTCACTAGGGCTGAGCATGGTTCGGTCCAAACCGAAAAAACCGACCGAACCGATCCGAAAAAATCGGTTTTATGAGTAGGGCGGTTCTGGTCGGTTTGAAAACTTTTTAAGCCGAACCGACCGAATATAGTGCAATACTACCCATTCTGATCTCAAACCCTACCCGACACGTCCCCAAAGAGTTAAAAATTCAAACCCTAAACTAATTTTCTGAATCATTATGGGTTAAAAACAATATCATTATATTAGTGTGTAATGTTTCATAATCTCCTACTTTGTTGATACCTTTTTTTTCTTTAACACAATTTGTTGTTTGATAAGAAATTTGATGAAGTTAGAACTGAACAAACCAAACCGAACCGCACCGAACCGACTTGTAACAATTCGGTTCGGTTTTGAATTATAGGCGATTCGGTTCGGTTGTTCAAATTTTGAAAAAAACCGAACCGAACCGACCGTTGCACACCCCTACACCTCATTACCAAGCACAAAATTTATACTTGGTACCAAGCATACCCATTTCTCTCTCTCTATGTATACATATGTATGTATGTATACATACATACATATGTACATACATACATACATACATATGTACATACATACATACATACATATGTACA